ACACACCGTACGCAGCTGCAATACTGAAGATTAAGGGAGAAGATATAGGATTTCAAGTTCAGAACAACAAGTTAAGAAGCTTGCTGCACGATGGAATTCATCGAGGATGATGACGGAGTGGCAATGCAGACGCCTTTGCGGGTATGAATACTGTAAATCCAGTTTTGAATTGTAGTTATATGAGTACGATTAACTGTAACTGTTAGGCATCCATATAGTTAGCAAAACTAAGAGTAAGACTAAGTGAGTCGCTGCACAGTGTCACATTATCACTGTCACTGTCAGTACTGTCTGTCAGTCAACATTAACAACAGCAATGTCAATTGGACTAGCTAAGCATAAGTAACAATGTAAACAAACATAACGTTAGATCTAACGTTATGTAGTCTAGGACTGCAGGAGGGCCTAACTTAAGGTGTAACTTACTAACTTAATACAGTTCATGAGTTAACATTTTTAACTTTTCATGTTAGTTGTGCACCAGCACCACATAAATGCTTGGGAAATTTTATATTTGCACTCGTTTCAAGCTTCAATTGCCAAGATGCAGTTTACAAGTACATGTACTAGTATATTATAAAAAATGGTGAATAAATCACAATATCTCTGTGGAGTATCTAAATAATAATTATAATATTGGATGATCAATTTTCGCGAAATACGTGAAATATTGTTACTCGCTGAAGAAAAATATTTTCACGTATCATCCATTATTATGTGTATTCAGTTCGTTATCTCCAAAGTAAAGTGCGGTGCACGCCTCTGCGCCCATGAATCCGCCTATGTTCAGATCTCTTTTTATCTACATGTGCATGTATTTTCAAATAAAAATTTCTTATAGTCATTTCTTGCATCTAAATCTTAACACACTGTCAAATTATCTGTTCAAATTTCTACTATTGTTTGCTTTCACTTTTACTACATATTTCTTCTTTATATAACTATTTATGCATACACATACTCCTGTATCTTTTGTATTACTTCTCTGACATTGAAGGATTAGATTACCTTCACGAAAAAAAAAAGTATATGAATGTAAAGCAGTAAATAAAGTGCAAATGAATTCATGTAAAACTGGTGTATAATTTCCTTTATATGTTATGTGTCTGTACATTACACTAGACAAAGTGATGAATGGAAAAAGAGAGAAAGAGAGGTCTTATAAACAAATATCATGAATTTAAAATGAGAAAGAGAGAAAGGGAGAGAGAGACAAAGGTCTTAGAAACAAATATGAATTCAAGAAGTGAGAAAGAGAGGGGGTCTTAGAAACAAATATCATGAATTGAGAGCTAGAGAGAGAGAGGTCTTAGAAACAAATATCAAGAAATGAGAAAGAGAGGGGGGGGGGGTCTTAGAAACAAATATGAAGAGAGAGAGAGAGAGGCCTTAGAAACAAATATGAAGAGGGGGTTAATGAGAGAGAAAGAAAGAGGGGTCTGAGAAATACATACGAGAGAGAGAGAGTGGGTCGAGAGAGAGAGGTCTTAGAAAACAAATATGAATAGAGATGGGGGGGGGGCGGGGGAGAAATGGGTCTTAGAAAACAAATATGAAGAGAGATGAGGGGGGGGGGAGGTCTTAGAAAACAAATATGAAGGGAGAGAGGTCAAGAGAATTAGAGAAATTAGGTCTTAGAAACAAATGACATGAATTTAAAAAATGAAAGACGTGATCCCACAATAATAGAAAATGGTACGAGTGCAATATTTAAATTACAGTTTATGTATTACATTACCATTACACATATTATGTCGAGTGTAGTCTGTGTATGTGTCGATATGTGTACACGTGTGTTAGGGGGGGGGGGGGTCCGAATCAGCAAATGGTTTGAAAGTAGGCTACACGTCAAAAATTGAAACCCTGAAGAAGGCGGAATTAAACCACAAAAACCATAATATTATTTGGTTTCTCTCTTTCCTTACTTTGATTAATTCCTTCTCTAATTTCTCTCTTTCTTTCAAGTTAGTTTTTGTTTTCTCTCTCTGCTTATGACATTCTTTGTTTCCTCTCTGTTCTTTAATTATTTATTGTTTTTCTCTATTTCCTTCTGTTGTTATTCGTTGTTTTTCTCTCACTCGTACGTCTCGATACAAAAGTACATGTACCGCGTACCGCGACACTGGACATATAGGACGTACGTTGAGCATTGCAGAAGAGCTACGTGCGCGCGCAATATCTTGTCATGGATAGACTTTTCGCAGTCGGTTCCTTGAAATTTATTGGGAAAAGGTCCAGGCCAGGGTGTAAAACGCAAAGTCGCGATCGGGCAGGCACTACTCATATACATGTATACGGGACGCGTCGCGAACGGGACATCAGGTGACATAGGGTTTGGATTCCGCGCGCGAAAAAATTGACCCGCCTACCTGAGCTGCCATAGCAACAAGACCACTTTGACTCGTGGAGCGGTTTGAGCCATAAAAATTGCTCGGAGTGTGAACGCTCGCAAACCGTTCCTCAAGACCCATTCCTTTGGAGCGGTCTAGAGCGGTCTAACTAAGACCACTTTCAAAGTGAGTGAGAACGGGGTTATTATCTTTCCTTTTCTCATTTGCTTTTTCTCTTTCTCTCTCACTCTCTCACTCTCTCTCTCTCTCTCTCTCTCACACTCTCTCCCTCACACTAAGTCACAGCATTATGTATTTCTCATTTTCATAACATCAACATCTCTTACCATTAAATACTTCTCTCTTATTCTCTTATCCTTTTTTCTTTCTATCTCTCTCTCTTTCTTTCTCTCTGTCACTCTTTCTCTCTTTTCTCTCACATTCTGTTTTCAGAATTCTTTTACGTATGATTTACTTAACCCAACCGTATGCACATTACAATACAATATGATGAAAGATATGAAGAGAATATTTTTGTATTTATTTTCCTTAAAACATCAAAATATTGTAATTCACCAAGTTTTCAAATTATACAATTCGGATATAAGGCTCAAAAAGTTTCATTTGCTCCTTGAAATTATCAACTTCAATCTTATGCATTTTGCCACGTAAATTTTCCCCAATATTTTTAAACAAAGCATAGGTTACTTCTGAGCCTTTTTTTTTCTTTCCAGGGAATGTATTATATCATTATTGGCACCGTATTACAAAACAAATTATAAAAAATAAGATAATTTTTGTGTTTTTAATTTACCCATGACTCAAAATCAGATTTTTTTACAATGCACATCTAATGTACAAATAATCCGTAAGAATGATGGATGCTTTTTGGTCCACACTAACACGAAGGACATATTGGTGCCTTTTATTTTTAGTAATGCCTATATGCAGCTTATATGGAATTAATACTTAAGTTGTCTATGGGACGGAAATTCAAAGGGAAGGTAAGGAGGAAAGATTGGGTTTAAAGGAGAAAGGGCGATCAAATAAGGGGCAAAGGAGTTAATGGTAGAATGATAGAATGAAGAATGAAATAAGGAATGATTTCTTTTTAAAAATATACAAAAACGAAGATATACACAAAAGAAGAGATTAACGCAGTATTAAAACAGGGAACAGCATAATGAAATAAAAATAAAAGTTTGGAACAAAGAATAACACAAGGAAAGATAGGAGAAAAAAATGAAATAAGCGGGGATAGGACTTGGACTGAAAACCATTGTAAAAGATAGAAAATAACTTAAAACTCAATTATGGGCTTTGAATATGTGTTCATCACTTACAGTTATGGACCTAGGTTTAAGCAATTTTTTCAACTTAATTATGTACACAGATCTGATGAGCCATCAAAAAGGATTTGAATTTACAACAAAATTAATCAAATTCTAGCGCAACACTGCAAAAGTAGGAAAATCTACTAACAAGATATTACAAACAAACAAGATTCTGATGAACACACAATTCTAATGAAGTAATTCAAGTCTTGCCAACACCGGTCTTATATCAAGTCACCGTGCCTTTCCGATCACATAAGATAAATAAACCTGTAAGCCCATAGGTTAGTCATTTAAAACTGTATAAAACTTCAAATTCTTATTGCGTTCAATTTTTACGACTGGGAAAATACTATGTACGAAGCCGATATCCGAGAACAAAGATGTGTCCTTGTATAGCTAAGACCTAGTCCTATGGAATCTGATTCGGTTCAGATAAACCATAGGTCCTTTTTTCAGCATTTAATATTTAGGTTACCCATAGTTCTGATTTTATCCTGAAAATCAAAACCTATTTATAGTACCCCAACAGTAAAGGCATGAATATTGAGAACATCAACATCCAATCTTCAGTATTTTATTTGTGTGTGTATGCGGGTGTGCGTGGACGTGTTTGTGTAGACATTATCAGATTAAAACCGTTATGTTGAAATTCATGAAAATGTAGGCCTTTGTTCAAAAGATGATCCAGAAACCAAATAATAAAAAAAATCAAGGCAAACATTTTCGTGTTAATTGTCTCTTCATTATTTATCAATATAAAAGTGTATTTTTTATTTTATAACGCTCCATTACATAATGGCAAAAGTCTGACCCCAAAAGAGGCGTGTTTTTAAATCATTTGACTTTTAACAATGTAATGGATATAGAATTCACACAATCAAATACAGAATTATTTACATACAGTCATGTTCTCTTAACATAATTACTTTAATGTGTTAGCGATTGTAACAGTATTTGTCTTGTTAAACAGATATTGATCATTTATCATAGAAAAGTGAATTTTATACAGATGCAAATGAACAACATAACTACAACTTGTTGCCACTTTTCTTCTAAAGTTTCGTTATACACATGAAAAGAAGTAAATCAACATCTTGATCGACAAATCTCTGTGAATACTCATATTCTCAGTTGGTATAATAAGTGAATGATATATGGAGAAGAAGAAGAGTGAATCTCTATGTACGTCAATCACGTGTTTTCGCAAACCATTATCATGATGGTTAATACCTTCAAGACAAACTTCGACTCAAAGCCTATTGTTTCTCATAATATTTAAATTCATCGTATTCAACAAAGTCGTTTCTGCTGACACCGGGGCCGCCTACCACCTGTTTGTTGAGCTCACACACACCGTTGCCGATGTTAAATGACACGCAGTCATCTCGCTTGTTACACTCGGCACCGCATTTGACCAATGACAATCCATGTTTGGTTTTGATCACGTGATTTTGAAGGCGCCGTCCCTCGATCCGTTTGAAGAGGGAGGTCTTCTGGTGGACTATGTCTGCTTGTGATGGTAGTGTGGGCAATGCTTGGTGAATTGTGGTAAAATCTGTGGAAAATAACCGAAATAAACATTTGATGTGACGTTTGACGATACCTATTAACGTAGGCCTATATCAAAGATGATCGCAAAGGCTTTCAAAAAATGATCCTTAATCAATTTCAATAACGTGGTCTACACCTTTTGAAATATGCGAGCATTACAGCGACGTATTTCCTAATCCAAACATGATTTTTTTTTGTTTTTTTTTTTGGGGGGGGGGATATATGCAATAGTATATTTCAATTGCCTTTGATTTTATTTCTAGGGAGTCTTTGTGAACGTGTTATGAATTAATATAAAGTTTAAAGATGCGATGCTAGGCAAAGATTAACCCCTTTAAACCCACTTAAAGATTACGTAGACATACACTTTACATTAAAAAAAATGTAGCATAAGACTACACCTGACTGATTTTGTTAAAGGCCAAGTTGAAATTTCATGTAGCCTGTCGGATAATTTCGAATTTCTCTTTAAACATCGCTTACACCACACACTGTCTGAAGCTACAGTTTGATTTTGTTCACCCTCTCTCTCTTTATGTTCGTTCTTTTATTTTGTTTTCATTTCTAAGATTTTTAAAAGAATGTTTACCCAAGTCCATTAGCCGTTGGACAAGAAGGCATATGACTATTTGTCCATCTATTTCAGCTTACTTTCATAGTAGGTATACGGAGAGGTGAAATTACGTTAAACTTTAATATGAAATACCTCTTGCCCATAATTTAGACCTATAATGAAATATATATATATATATATATATATATATATATATATATATATATATATATCGAATTACATTATAAGGCAACGTATGCCTTAAATTTTCCACACAATAGATTCATTTTTTGTTTATTTGTGTCGGGGGGGGGGGTGAGGGGCTTTGAATGCTGCAGGCGAAATCAATATTATTCAAGCCTCCCCCGCGCTGCCTCCCCCCTTCCCACCGTCGTTCATATTAATAATTAGACAAATATTTATTATTGAACAAAACTATACAAACTTCTAACTCAACATTTGTAAACGAGGATACAAAACAAAATGGCGAAAATTTGCGAAGCAGAAACGCTCCGTCGGCTAACTTTCCCATTGCCCCAAATACATATATGTATGTATATTGTATATTTTTGCTCCGTTTTCTTGCAATAGATAATGATGCAAATATTAATGATATTAATAACAACGATGATGATGATAAATAACAATGATGATGAAAGTAATACATGTAATACTACTTCTACTACTACTACTACTACGAATAATAATAATATAATAATAATGATAATATGAATAATAACAATTATAATAATAATAAATGATAATAGTAACGACAACAGTAATAATAAGAATAATAATACTTCTACTACAATTAATAATAATTGTAATTAACATTAATGAAAATAATTTTAATAGTAACATACTAGTGTTTCTAATAACTGTCCTATCACAACTTATAGTGTCTTATCTGGATTTGTATTATCTTTGATAATAATATTAATGATAATGATAATCAGATTTTTTTTTTACCAAAATGAGCCTGATCAGCTTCATGCAGTACTGTTCTGCCAGAGGGCCCTGCAATTAGTATTACACTACGAATTGCCAGGTACACATTTACAGCTGGGTTAGAAGTGGCGAATGTGGATTTATGTCTTGCCAAAGGACATTGGTGCCGGTCTGGGATTCGAACCCTAAACATTAGGAGTGAGAGTCCAGTGAATGAACCACTTTACCATGACACCTCCACATAATTGTGTGAATACTTACCTGGCGTTGGAGTCCGATCTTCTGTAGGCGTTTCAGGAGTGGCCTGATATCAAACAGAAATGTACCATTCTTTCCCGTCAGTATGATCATGATAGATTATTTCATGACATAACTTTAATCATTATTTCATGAAAACGAGATAATATAGAATTACATTCGTAACTTAGTAGAAAAATATGAAACAACCCGGTTACCGAGCGATGATCGAATTAAGTTTATCGTTTTAACATTCAACTAAGTGTTATGAAACCTATTTCTATTCTCACTCGTAATCGATGGTTGATACTTTTATTTGTAAGTGAGAAAAAGAAAAATCTATGTCAAAAGTACATTGCACAAATATATAAATTGAAATAAATGAATGAATGAATGAATAAGTGATTAAGCGAGTGAGTAAAATAGAATGAATAAATTGTAATTTGAAAGTTGAATCAGTTCATCATGTTATGAAAAAGGATTATCTATAAAACAAATGAGTTAGTTATTTAAATAACATCGAATTATGTTCTTCTCAGTAAATGTGTGTACGTCCCATGACCCCGTTAAGGATAACTCACACTTGTTGACCTTGTCGGCACGGTTGTTTCACCTCTGACACCTATGTTTGGAATAAGAATAGCAGTAAAAAGACGAGCATTAAAAGATGCAATGCTAGGTAAAGACTAACCCCTTCCAACCCACTACAAGGTTACGTAGACCTACACTTGATATGGAAATACATATAGCACATCTCTATACCTGACCGATTTATTAAAGGGTAAGTTGAAATTTCATGTAGCCTTTTGGATAACGGCAACGGATTCCTTCAATATTAACACAACGGCAGACTCGTGTATCTTCAGGGGGCAAGGAGGTTTGGATGCTGCGCCCCCAAAGGTATTATTTATGGCCTCAATCCCGCCCTAGTGTTTGCCCCATTTTGATAATGATAAAACATTCAATTATTACACAAAAATATACAAAATCTTAACTCAATACCTGTAAACGAGGATACGATACAAAATGACGAAAATGTCCTAAGTAGAAAAGCTACCTCGGCTTACTGGCCCACTGCATCAAATACTTGTATGTTTATTGTACATTTCCTTCTCTGGGTTGCCAGTGTCGTGAGCATGAGGCCAGGCAATCCACACAAAATAAGAATAATAACAAAAACAACAACAACAACAACAATGATAATAATACTACTACTACTAATAAAATTATAATAGTTACATTTATTTAGCTTTTAATCATAATGTTTCTAATTTCTGTATGCCTACTCTAATAATCAATATTGTTTTTCTGGTTTGTCTGATCTTAAATAATACATGATAATAATGATAATGATCATAATTTTGTTTACAGGAAAAGCCTCATCAGCTTCAGTGCTGTTCTGCCGAAGGGCCCTGCAATTATTATTACACTGCGAATAGCCAGGTACACATTTACAGCTGGGTTAGAAGTGGCGAATGTGGGTTTATTTCATGCCAAAGGACATTGGTGCCGGACTGGGATTCGAACCCTAAACATTAGGAGTGAGAGTCCAGTGAATGAACCACTTTACCATGACACCTCTACATAATTTTGTGAATATTACCTGGCGTAGGAGTCCGTTTTTCTGTAGGTGTTTCAGGAGTGCCCTGTTATCAAACAGAAATGTAACACTCTCTCCCGTCAGTATAATAATAACAGGTTATTTCATGAAATAACTTTCATTATTTTATCGTGAATACTTTATTTCATGAAAACGGGGTAATATAGAATTACATACGTCTATGAAAATATGAAACGACCCGGTTACCTAGCAATAATCGATGTTTAATACTTTTATTTGTAAGCGAGAAAAAGAAAAATCTATGTCAAAATTACATTGCACAAATATATAAAAAGAAATAAATGAATGCTTTAATGAATAAGTGATTAAGCGAGTGACTAAAATAGAATGAATGAATCGTAATTTGAACGTTAAATCAATTCATCATATTATGACAAAAAATTATCTATAAAACGAATGAGTTAGTAAATTATTTGAATAACACATAATCATATTCTTCCCAGTAAATGTGTGTATGTCCTATGACCCCGTTATGGATAACTCACACTTGTTGACCTTGTCGGCACGGTTGTTTCACCTCTGACACCTATGTTTGGAATAAAAATAGCATTAAAAAGACGTGCATTAAAAGATGCAATGCTAGGTAAAGACTAACCCCTTCCGACCCACTACAAGGTTACGTAGACCTACACTTGGCATGGAAATACATATAGCATATCCCTAAACCTTAACGATTTATTAAAGGCTAAGTTGAAATTTCATGTAGCCTGTTGGATAATTTCATATTTATTTCTAATTAAATTACAATGCAACGGATTCCTTCAATATTTACAAAACGGCAGACTCGTTTTTTTTTTTTTAAGGGGGCGAGGAGGTTTGGATGCTGCGCCCCCAAAGGTATCATTTATGGCCCCAATCCCGCCCTAGTGTTTGCCCCATTTTGATGAGAAAAAATTATATTATTGCACAAAATTATACAAATCTTAACTCAATATCTGTAAACGAGGATACAATACAAAATGACGAAAATGACGAAGTAGAAACGCTACCTCGGCTTACTGGCCCACTGCCCCCAAATGCTTGCATGTGTATTGTACATTTCCTACTCTGGATTGCCTGTGTCGTGAGCATGAGGCCAGGCTATCCTCACAAAATAACAACAGCAACAACTACAACAACAATGATGATAATAATACTACTAATAAAATGATAATAGTTACATTTATTAGCTCTTAATTATAATGCTTCTAATTTCTGTATTCTGCCGAGGTAGCGTTTCTACTTCGTCATTTTCGTCATTTTGTATTGTATCCTCGTTTACAGATATTGAGTTAAGATTTGTATAATTTTGTGCAATAATATAATTTTTTCTATGCCTACTATCATTACCAATAGTGTTTCATCTGGATTTGCTCTATCTTGAATAATAAAGGATAATAAATGATAATAATGATAATAATCATGATTTTGTCTACCAAGAGAAGCCTCGTCAGATCCAGTGCTATTTTGCCAGAGAGCCTTGCAATTAGTATTACTTTAGCGATCGCCAGGTACCCAATTAAACGGGGTAGGAAGATGCAAATGCTGATCTTGCCAAAGAAAATTGGTGCCAGACTGCGATTCAAACCATGAACATTAGGATTGAGAGTCAAATAACTGAACCACTTTACCATGACACCTTCACATCAGTTTGTGAATACTTACTTGGCGTTGGAGTCCGTTCTTCTGTAGGCGTTTCACGGCTGGCCTGTTATCAAACAGAAATATACAATTCTTTTCATTCAGTATAATCATAATACATTAATTTATGAAATAACTAAAATTCTATATATGATATGTAGATTTCACGAAAAAGAGGATAATTCAGAATTACATGCATAACTAAGTAGAAGAATAAGAAACAATCCAGTAACCAAGCAATCAGTATCAAGTGTATCGTTTTATCATTCAACTTGGTTTATGAAACTTATTACTGTTCTAACTATCAACAACTAATGAAATTAAATAAATGCATGAATGAATAGGTGATGAAGCGAGTGAGTAAAATAAAATAAATAAATTGTAAGACGAATTCAATTGTGATGTTATACAAAATTTGAAAAAAATCTGAAAAAAAATAGTTAGATATTTCTTCATATTACACTAAATTACAGTCTTCTTGGGAATGTTTGTATGTCACATGACCCCCTTATGGAGGATAACTCACACTTGTTAACGTTGTCGGCGCGGTTGTTTCATCTGTAACACCTGTGTATGGAATAAGAATAGCATTAAAAAGATGATCGAGGATTTAAACAATTTAATTTATAGGAGGAAAAAAGATCGACAGTGATCTTTATTCAATCACAGTGGCGGATACAGAGGGGGGGGGGGACAGGGGGCACGTGCCCCACCCCCCGCCCCAAAAAAATATGTTATAATCAGCCCTAAATTCGCCCACAATATACCGAAAAACAGGGGCGTGCCCCCCCCCCCGGCCCAAAAATAATATAACATAAGATAACATAATATAACATGACGGTGCAAAATGTCAAATTAAAAAAATTCTTTACCCCCCCCCCAAAAAAAAAAGTGTCCTCTCATCCCCCCCCCCCCCATCCCGCTTATTCAGCGGCTGGCTGAGTCGTTGCGATTTTTGGGGGACTAAAAAAATATATATATATGTTCTCTTTCCAAAACGGTGCCCCCCCCCCCCCCCCCCCCCCCCCTCCCCGGCAAGAAATTCCTGGATTCGCGCCTGAACCAATAATCGACAAATCAGTTGGAGATGCAGCTTTTACCTCTCCTGCTGGCACACTCCGGACAAGCTACGCCCTCAAATTAAAATCATCACCAACATGCCAACAGTAGAAACATTCAAACAGAGTTTGGAGACCTTCCTGTTCTAAAACCTTACGCATTCTTTTAACTTAAACTTTCACTGCTTGGTAACACTAACTCGTGGATGACATCTTAGTGGAAAAGGTGCTGTATGAATTACAACTATATCATTATGAAACATGTAGAACACTTAGAAAACAGTGCCAATACATAGTTATGAATACATAACATAAACATTCACTTCTCTACGCATCCCCAAATAAGAACAACTTGAATATATTTCGATTTTTGTTTCGCAGTTTCAGGTGATTGTTATGCAATTAATTTTGCAGTGGGATCAACGTTCATGATGTATTTCTCTTGAAAATTATGTCATTACTTGATTTATTGGATGCATTTTATATTAAAGCTCCTTGAAATGTTAAATGTTCATCCTTTTTGACTTTCATGCAATTACATATAAATAACAACATTTGTTTTAGGAGGAGCGCCGGGGCTTGGGGATTTGTGCATTTATTCTGCATTTGCCTCTCATAGATTAATATTTTTTCTAATGTTATGTTCAGGTGCAAGAATTTTTTTTGGTTCGAGGGGGTTGGGGGGGGGGGGGGCTGATTTCCTGCCAATTCTAGAACCGCTACTGCTTACATTCATAATCAGCGTAGCCGTAGGTGTAATCCCCCGGGCACGTTGAACCCGCCGAGCATGAGACAGAGAAGGTACATGGATTGACAGTCTGGCAATACGGAGCCCACAGTGCCGTCTTGTCACTGTCATCACACAGGCTGTCCAGAGAGGGGTCATAAGCATCGCAAAAAGGGACCATCACACAAACTCCTTTGGTGATCCTGATCGTTGATCCTGGGTCACACTCGATCGTGATCGTTAGAGAATTGCCATCTCCTCGACACTCTGTTACTATGCACAGTGTGATACAAAGTTGTAATTATGACAGTAAACACATTTCCATCTTCACTTACAATACAAAGGATATAACATACATTTATATTCTTTCAGATTATTTTTTTAAATTTCAGATCCATACATTAAATTATTATAAAATTTATTGTGAGAGAAATTAAACATAATTTGAGAAAATTTGTGACAACAAAAGACTATATTACATTAATTCAATTATGTTATAGAATATAGACATTATTATTTATAACTGTTTGGTGTTTACCAAAAGAAGAGTAAACTGTTCATAAATATGGATTTATATAAAGCGAATGTTTTTCACGAAAATTTCCAACCGAGCC